GCTCCTCACGGCCACCAGACAACTCCCCATCCCGATACCCATGGCAGAGAGGAAGATGTGTAGGCAGGACAGAGTGAGACTTTGGAGAGCGCCCAAAGGACCCCTCCTCATGGGTAAACCATGGCGCAGAGAATGGGAAGTGGCAAGTGGGACTAAGCACGGGCGATCCTGGGACCAGCAGGAGGTGTGGTGGTTAAGGTGCTAGACTCCCACACGGCCAACTGCTGTTTGAATCTCAGACCTGGTGGCTTGAAAATCATGCTGGATACATGTGCATGTGTGCCCGAAATCCCAGGGGGAGAATGGAGGAGAAGGGATTGTAGTATAGCCATTCCCCATGGGGAGTGATTTCTTACTTTCCTTTTCACTGTCTCTCTGTCTCTCTCCAGTGAACACATGCACCCTATGCCTGTCCCTCTCCAGTGAACCAATGCACCCGATGGCTTGAAACCTTAAAAAAAAAAAAAAAAGAGTGTGTGTTGAGAGAGAAAGATCTCTTAGAAAGAATTGGTTTGGACTGGCCCTGTAGCCTAGTGGTTAAGGGATCATGGCTGACCGTTGTTGGAACCCCTGCTCGGCAGCTTGAAAATCTTGCCAGGCATGTGTGCACGCATGCCCCAAACCTCTCCAGGATGGAGAAGTGGGTTAGGGATTGCAACGTGACCATACCCCATGGAGGAGGGTGTTTTTTCCCTCTTTCTCTGAGTCTCTCTGACTTTCTCTGCTGAGCACATGTATTCTCTAGCAATCTGGCAATTACATAAATAAATAAATAGTAAAAGTAAAAATTAGATGGGGCCAGCCACTGGCATGGTGGTTAAGGTAGCTGGATCCCACATGCCTGGCTATGCATATACCAGAACTGGAAGCTTGAAAAACACACCAGGCGTGCATATGTGTGCCCAAAATTTTGAGAGGAGAATGGAGAGGAAAGGATCGCAGTGTAGCCACCTTTTTCTCTCTCTGGCAAGCACGTGTGCCCTCTAGAAAATGTAAAGAAAAATTAAAAAAAAAAAAAAGAATTCACTTACACAGTTATGGAAGCTGGTAAGCCCAATTTTTGCAGTATGGGCCCAGGAGAGCTGATGGCGAGCCGAAGTCCAAGGCTGTCTGCTGAGAATTCTCTGTTGTGTGGGGATAATGAGGTCTTTTTATTCTGTTCAGGCCTTCAACTGATTAGATGAAGCCCACCCATGAGTTTACCGAAAAATCACAGCTTTAAAAGTTAATCTGTTCCCCACACGCCCTCCAGATTGATATAAAATTAACCATCACAGGCTTGGAGTTTGGGCTCTCGGAGGTCCCTCCTCACAGGGCTCCCAGGCTGGGTGGTCTCTCTTGGTTCTTAGTGCGGCTGCCCTGCCTACCAGGATACTTCTAGGGGTCCACCAGTGGAGTGAGCCCTGAGATGACCAGCCACTGCCCCTGACTGCTCCGGCCTGAGGCCGCCTGCTCCGCAGGTCCATGATTCCCTCTGCCTTTTCCTTGGTCTCTCTCCTTTTTTCATCTCACAGGTCCTCTCTGAAATCCCAGCTGACATCAGAAGACTCCCAGACAGACCCCCAGGGGTGTGGCTTATCCTTCACACCCCTCTCATGTATGGCGGGGGGGGGGAAGGCACAACAAACACAGAGCGAGAAAGCCATGAAAATTACAGTGAGTGACAGCTCAGCCTCAGACAAACAGCATTCTTCTAGTACAAGTATGACCCATCCGATATTCGGGATATGCTTAGACTGAACAATGTGCTCATGGCCAATCTGAAAGTCGAATTTAACCAGACAGCCTGTATTTTATCTGGCCCATTCTCCTGGGGCCAGCAATCCAGAGGGGTTACCTTAGCCCACCTAGCTGTGACACCCCATGGCCTTGGCTGCTCAGGATCAGCCGCCCCGCCCCTCCAGGCCTTAAGGGCAGTGAGAGCAGAGGTGTGTGGGTCTGGCTGGGGCTGGGGGCTACTGGAGCAAGGCCTGGCATGGGGCCACATCCCTTTCCCTATGTGAGTGCACTGGTGGGGGTTCCACTGCAGTAGTGGAATTGCCCAAGAACCTCCTAGTCTTGGGGTCCTTGTGTCCTTAGCCCCCTGGCTGTCCCTGGCCCTGCTCTTCCCTATAGTCCCTAGGGAGGCCCATCCTGGGACAGCCCAGCCCTCCCCCAGGCACAGGACCTCCCACCAGCTTGAAGGAGGTTCTAGAAAAATTGCAGCTTTTGGAATCAGAAGGACTCTGGTTGGTCCTGAACCCCTAATTTGAGTCTAGGGAAGGGGCAAGCTGAGTATGGGGCTTCCCCCCCAGGGAAAGGGACAGGGCCTACCCAGTCCTCATGCAGGTGCCAGCACCCCTGGCTTGGGCAAGCCCCACCCCTCTCAGCCCTGAGACACAGAGGCAGCCCAGAACCTTTCCTCCAGCCCTCCTGGGCACGGCTGAGGCCGACAGCAGCGCTGGACACAGGCGTCCCTCAGGGTTGCCTCCAGGGCCGTCACCACCCTTCCATGAGTGGTCAGGGCACGTCTGAGGCCACGAGGGTGGCTGCCCCTTGGGGATGCAGAGTTGGGGTGGTCTGCTGCTGTGCTGTGTAGTCAGAGAAGCACTGTCTTCTTATACACTCCCCAACCTCTCTGGCCCTGGTGGCTGACAGCCAGAGCAGTGACTTCCATGAAAGGCCTTTGCTAAGGGAGCATTCTGGGTTCCTTGTGCCCCAGCCAGAGGGCCCCATCTCCTTTTTGCTTTACCTACTGCTATCATGGTATCACTTCTTGGGGGGACAGGTGGAGAGACTCTCCACTCTAGGACTGCCCGACTCACTGGGGGCAACCTTGGACATAGCTGAACCAGCCCAATGGAGAAGAAAACAGGAACCCATGGAGGTCCAGGTCTGGGTGTGCTTACATCCCTGGGGTGCCCTCCAAAGCAGAAGACTGGCTTTTCCTGGGCTCCAGGAGAGTGACCTCACTGTAGCCTGTGGGGAGAGCCTATGCCCATCCTTTGCCTGGGTTTTTCCTGTAGACCACATGGGCTACTCCACTCCAGTGTCCAGCCCACCCCAATGAAGGCCATTGATGACAGAGATGGGAGAAAAGAAGGAGGAAGATGTGTTGGCAAGGCCTTGGGTGTCCCAGGGAAGGGACAGGACCCCGGTGGATAGTGCTCAATAACTAATTCTCTCTCCAAACCACCCAGAGCCCATCAAAGTCCAGTCAACTCTCCTGTCAGCTTCTCCACTGAAAACGCCCAAAGCCTCTCATTCAGACTCCATTAAGAAATTCCATAGACACAGCAGAATTAAGTGCCCAGCATGTGCACTTCTGAGCTCAGGCCCTGGGTGACCTGCCATAGCAGCCCTGGGGCCTGGTTCCGACATCCGTCTGTCCATTTGTGCACCTGCTCACCTGCAGCAAGCTGGGTGAAAGTGAATTAACAAGCCTCACTTGCTCCCTGTGCAAACCATCTTCCTACCTGCTACAGTTCTCCAGGAGCTGAGGGTCCCCCCCGACCTATGACCTCCTGACTGTTTATGGACCCCTTGAGTCCCTTGACAGGAGCACTCTCCAATACCTGGTGGCACTGCCCACTCTTCTGCCTACCTCCAGGCACCTGGTGCATGAATGTCAGAACCAGAAGTTGCCCCAAGGTGACAGGAGGCCTTGGGCCTTGTATACGGCCAGAGGAGTCAGACCTGGGAAGGAGCAGGTGTGATTGCCTGGGAGGCACTCAGAACTACATGTCCTCAAGGCTGGCTGTAGGCCTGGAGTGGTGACCTGAGTGCGGATTGACTGTTCTGGGCCCCATGGGTAGGACCTGGGGAAGGGGAGGGAGTCACGCCGTGCATGGGCTTCAGTTCCTGACTTAAACCTGCCCCTAATGCATCTGTGGATGAAGTAAGGCCCCAAGGGAAGAAGCCTCCTAAAGAGAGTGGGGGGCCTTGGTCTGCATGAGAAACTGGGAACTGGGTGCTCACAGGCTGCTGGGAAGAAACCTGAGAAGCCAGTGCGCTTGTAAGATCAATATAAATATATTTCTGCACAGAGAACAATAAATAGGCACAATAAAGATGCATGACAGCAACAGCCTCATCTGTGCGTCTGGGTGCACGACAGGCGCAGCTGGTTGCCAGGCCAGCACTGTGAGCTGTGTGCCCAAGGCCAGTTGCTGAGGTAAAACTTCAGAGGTGTTTCCTTTACGGTGAAATCCCTGTAGGACGCCTGGGCTGGTCTTCAGCATGATGGGCCATGGAGCTCCTGGCAATGTGGTCAGAGGTTACATTGCTGAGGCTGAGGCCACCTGCCCAGGGTGGGCAGGCCTGGCTTGGAAGGGGTGGTGAGGAGGCCAGATGTCCCCACCTGGACAAGGGTCAGCTGGACCCTGCCTGCTGCCTGCCCAGAGGTGAAGCTGTCTGGTGGGAGGGTCTGGGGTCCTGCCCCACCCCTCAATGGGCAGCCAGTGGCTTTA